TCTCCACCACGCGCGCGCTGTACCGCTCCTCCGCGAACACCGGCGCGTTGTCGTTCACGTCCAGCACCCGCAGCGCCAGCACCGCGCTGCTCTGCAGCGCCGGCGACCCGCCGTCGGCCGCCCGCACCGTCACGTTGTACTCCGACACCTGCTCTCGGTCCAGCTCTCTCGCTGTCACCACGCGGTAGTAACTGCCGTGCGAGTTCTGCAGTCGGAAAGGGACGTCCCCATCTAGGGAGCAGCGCACTTCGCCGTTAGCCCCGGAGTCCCGGTCCTGCACGTGCAGAAGAGCCACCACGGTCCCCGATGGCGCATCCTCAGAGATCTCACTCAGTGCCGACGACACTGTGAGTTCGGGGGCGTTGTCGTTAACATCTGTCACGGTGACCATGACTTTTGCCGTGTCAAAAAGTCCTCCCCCGTCATGTGCCTCCACTTCGAGTTTATAGAAATCCCCTTTTTCGAAGTCCAGGCTCTGCAACAGGGTGATTTCGCCCTTCTCGCTATCCAGTTGGAAAATATGTGAGGCTTTCTCTGAAATTTGCTGAATCGAGTACTTCACGTGTCCGTTCAGCCCCTCATCGGCGTCCGTGGCCGTGACAGTGACCAGGACAGAGCCCACGGGCACGTCCTCGGGCACACGCACCGTGTACTCCGCCTGGCTGAACACGGGCGCGTTGTCGTTCGTATCCACCACGGTCACACGGATCCGAGCCGTGCCCGTCCGTGCCGGATCGCCGCCGTCCATCGCCCTCAGCAGCAGCTCGTGAAACGCCGCCTCCTCCCGGTCCAGCGCCTTGGCCAGCACCAGCTCGGGACGCTGATCGCCGCCGGGGCCCGCCTGCACGGCCAGCGAGAAGTGCTCGTCACCGCTCAGCTCGTAGCTCTGCACGGAATTCCGGCCCCAGTCCGGGTCATGCGCGTCTGGCAGGGGAAACCGCGACCCCGGGGCTGTCGTCTCGCTCATTCTGAGATCTATTTCTGCCTCTCGGAAGCTGGGTGCATTATCATTTATGTCCTTGATTTCTACTTCTATTTCATAAAACTTCATTTCCCCCTCCACGATCAGCTCACAGGGCAGAACGCATTTCTCCACCTGCCGGCACAGCTGCTCTCTGTCGATCCTCTCCGCCGTCACTAAATGTCCCGTCTTCCCGTGCAGAAAGAAATACTGCGTCTGACCTTCCGAGACAATGCGGACGCCGCGAGCTCTGAGCTCGGGCAGCTGCAGCCCCAGGTCCTTGGCCACGTCGCCCACGAACGAGCCCTTGGGCAGCTCCTCGGGCACCGAGTAGCGCAGCTGCCCCCACGCCGCCTCCCACGCCGCCAGCAGGACGGCCCAGAGCACAGCTCGCTGCCGCCGGCCCCAGCGCCTCCCCGCCCAGCTCATCTCCGCCAACTTAGCTCCCCGCTGCCGCTGCTGCTCAGCTCCCAGCGCTTGCTGACCTTTCCCACCGGCCTCTCCGCTCCCGGGCCCTGCCCCAGCCTCCGCCGCCTCTCCGCCGCACGGATCCGCACCGGCAGGACGATCGCACACCGCCGCCCGGGCTGCCCACCCACCACCGATCCAGCGATCCAGCGATCCAGCCTGGCCGCAGCGGGCGGGGCTGACGGCAGCGCTCCGATCCTCCTCTCGCTCCTCTCGGTCAACAGCGGCGCCCGCAGCCTCCTCCCGGCACTGCAGACACCGAGCGCTGCCCGCCCTGCCTGCCCACAAACAGGGACCACTCGCCACCCACACGCCGCTTTCCGGCCCGCGCCGATCTCCTGCCTCCGCTTTTCTCCAGCCCATCTCGCCTTTGACCCTCCAGGGCATCGCGATCGGGAGGAAGGCAGAGATATTCCGTGAGGGCGGTTCTTCAACCGCACGGGAATCGAAGCACTTACTAATGACATTATATGTAAATTCAAATACATTTTTCGTATTTTACCCTGTAGCTTACGGTTAGCCTTATGGTTTTTGTACAAAAGCATCTTCAACAACAGGCTATCAGAGGGAAACGGGAGGATTTCATATCCCGAATAAACACAGCTATCAGGTTCATTTACACAAGCAGGACGAGAGCAATTGCATGCGTCTTCAAGTCAGGGACCTAATTGTTACAGCACTGAATAACTGAAAATAATAATAATTTTCTTTGTCAGAAAGATGCAGCTAAAACACTTAAAAGAAAACTTTCAGAACTTCAAATCTTTCACATCCCATCCTAAAAGAAACATAGTGTTTCATTAAATAACAGAGATTTACGTTTCATCAATTCATTCTAGGCTTCTTTTATTCTGAAATCAACATGTAAAGAATTGAAGTTCATTAGTAAACGATTAATTTATGCATTTCGTAACCACGCTGATACGATGTGTTTCCAAGAAAGGAATTATAGAACCATAGAACTAAAGTACCATTATGCTCTTGAAACTGTGCTGGCTAATCATCAATATGCAAATGGGATTGATTCAAGTGTCTGAACCATGTTCTGGACAATCTCCCTCATATGTGATGCCTTCGTATCTCAGATGTCCATCCTAGCCAACAGAATTTCAGCTATTTTTTGTTCCCGATATACCCGAGTTCTGCTGAAACCTCCAACACCACTGTGAGAAAAGGATAGAAAAATGAAAATCTCTGACAGAAAAAGCATTCAAGCCGATCACGAGCATATAAAATAAACATCATGAAGGGCAAAACAGCGAACTGCCAGCCAGAATGTATAAAAAGAAGCCATCCAGTCCCACTACTGCAATCCCCCTAGAAAAGGGCAACAATCGCTTTTTTCACCCAGCATGGACAACGGAGCTTCCCACTTTCGTTTCCCTTCTAAATCAAACCGGAATAAATACAAAGTTTAATGAACGGGTTTGTGTAACGCTCTACTCCAAGCACAACTTTACTAAACAAAGCAGTCAGGAAGGATGAAAGCTCCAAAACCCGCTGTCAGTGCTTTTCTCCTTTTTCCGCGACCCCCTCAGGGACAATCAGCCATTCTCCTTCCACAGAATACCAATACCAGTGTGCATGCGGTACTGCGAACACATTGCAAATGATAGAGCTCAACAGCTGAAGACAAAACCTGGCAGCTGAAGCTTAATCTGAGACCAAGGAAGAACCAAGTGCTTCCTCCTCTACCGTTAACGGGGCATTGCCCGTTCCTTAATTCACTCCATCACGAAGACAGAACAGTGCAACCCACAAAAACAAAAACTTCAATCTCAGGAAACACAGAGAAACTCTGAGAAACGCTGCTACGAGCCGAAAGGAGAGCCATAAACAAAGCCTGTCAGCTGAATCTGTAACCGAGAATAAAATGCAAAACTTCTGCCACTACGTAGAAACACAAATGAAGAGTCTCCTTATACACCACGCAGAGAATACCCGGAAAACATGAACGACGTTTCAGAAAGTTTCAAAAGCAGAAAGATCTCACGCTTTACACACCTGCAGTGCAGCAGCATCGGCGGGCGGCTCTCCCACGACGACGTGACTGCTCGGGCTCGGCTTCTCGCAGGAATCGCCGCCCAGAAGCTCCTCCGCCGACAGGACGGGCACCGCCGGCACCGGCGGCGGCGGCGGCCAAGCGGCCTCGGGCACGGCGCGGGCCGGCGGCGGCACGCACAGGTTGTAGGAGTAGGGCAAGGTGCCCTCGCAGAAGTCGGCCGGGAAGGCGGCGCCGGCCAGCGAGAAG